GTTAGTTAAAACGAAATATATTTGTGAAATATTTATATTTAATTAGAGAATGTAGGTTATCAATAAATAAGTGAAAAGTTTAACCTCTTAATTGGTTAATTTAAACAAATATTGAAAAAGTATTTTAAGGTTTCTAAATCTAGACATGATGAAATATTATGAAAATACACTTTAGATGCACATACACACACACACACACACACACACACATATATATATATATATATAAATATATCACACACACACACACACATATATATATATATATATGTGTGTGTGTGTGTGTGTGTGTGTGTGTTGAACCCCGGTAAAAACTGTGGAAAAAATTCAATAGGTTTAAGTAGTAGCACTAAAATCTCAATTTTTTGCAAAAATAGGTTCACAGAAACTCAAATTCAAATCCTACATTTATTAACCAATCAGCGATGTTGTCTCAAACGCCATTCAAGCTTTTAAAATTCTTGTCGTTTCCTACAAAAATTGGAGGACCCTAAAAATGGAAATTAAAAACTGTGAAATATATTCGTTAACCAATAAAACTGGGCATAAGTGAATGCAAAGAACTAGACTGGAATTCGAACTCGGCTCTCCGATTCTTCAATCCGTGCCGCTATCTATTACTCCACTGTGTCTCCCTGCAATACCGAGGAGAGCGAAAGACAAGAATTGCGATTACTCCATCTATCATCAAAAATTATTTCTGGGGTGATGAAGTAAATCTAACTTCCTGTGATCCGATTTTTTCTCATAAACAGTGTAATTAAAAATATATTTTCAGTATATATTCGATTATTTGTAAATAAACTGAATGCCAAAATTTTCGCATACGCTAATTAACTTAAAGAGAACAAAGTCCCTTTTTTCTTAAATTAATTCTCGCTTTTAAAATATTTTCATAAAACTGCACAGGTACATTATGAAAATATCCAAGCGAGATATATAAACAAAGCGTAATTGTAGCAGCAGTAGTAGTAGATAATTTTATCACGACTGCTGATGAAATTACATCATACACACGCATGATATAACGTAAATCGTGAATTGTGGCATTAAGAATTTAGATATACCTTTAATTTCTTTTCGTATTGCTCTAAATAGGATCGATATCATCACCTTAATTCTAAAATAGGAGGGGGAAATAATTTATTTATAACAGGAACAATGCAAAAGAAGAATTTTCTTTCTTGTCCTTTTGTCTTTTCTTTTCTTTTCCTTTGGTGGGTGAGGGTGCTTAATGGGAGAACAAAACTAGTGCACGATTAAAATATAAAATCTGAACAATAGAAACTATGTAAATCAATTAAATATTTTAAGATAAAAAACGAAAACACACACACAAACACAAACACACACACACACACACACACATATATATATATTATAAATTAATTGATTTAAATTTTTCTTCGTTACACATTTCTAACCATGTTTCAAAAATGGAAGCTGAAAGCTCCGAATTTAATTTTGTAATTAAATTAAAGACATTAGTTCCATTTCATCCTCAAGCGAATTTTGGAGTAGCTTTTTAAAATTACTGGGTTTTAAAGACACAGCAAAAATCATAATTCACGTTCCCAAGGTTACAGATAAATCCACTTCCACTGTAGGTTGTTTGTGTGTGTATGTGTGTTCGTTTATATATGGGATCGAATTTCCTACATATTTCAACCGATTTCAACAAAACTTCATTTTTTTTTTTGCCAGGTAGTGTTTCTTATTGTCTTGCACACTTTTTTCTTTATTTTTACATTCAGAATCACAGCTAAAATCATAGTTCACGTTTCAAAGATTACAGATAAATCCATTCAACCAGACTAGGGATGTTTGCGTGTTCATTATCGATGTATCAGTTATTACCTAAGTTTTGGTAGGGGTAGGGATGTATTTTTCAATGAAATCTGTCATTCGTTAAATGCATGTCGTCTGGATTTTAAAAAGATATTTTACTGGAATTCTCTGAGGTTTTTATAACACTATTGGACACTACATTAAAAAATAAGAATAAAAGTTCAAATATATATATATATATTATTCCAGGATCATTTTTCAACTTATTCAAGATAAACTTCACCCTTAGTAACAGTCTAACTCTCTGTATTTGAGTAAAAAGGTACCTTACAGGTTTCAGATACGATTTCATTTTCAAGACTTTTTTCACTGCTCTTTGGACTGTCATAGCTGAAACTCCTCTCTCATGTGCGAAACGTCTTATGGATTGAGTTGGATCTTTTCTAATTGATCTCTTTAGCTCTAACTTGAAATGATGACTCCCTCTTCCAGTTTTGACCTCCTGATCCAGTTTCCCTCTTTCACCATTTTCTTGATGGTCTTTGAATGGACTTTGAAGATAGAAGCCAGAGTATGAATGATCTTTTTTCCTCTCACCATTGCTTAGTTGAGAAGACAGTGAGGATGACACAAAACGATTTTAACCTGTTCTCTTTTTAACTAAATAAGTCAAAGGGCTTTTCAGTGAGTATTACAGCAAATCAAGATGGCTAAACGTCTTATCTCAAAAAGCTGTAAAAAAAAACACGATTAGTTTAGTTTTTCATATATATATATATATATATATATATATATATATATATATATATATATATATATATACCAAACCTCTAGTAAAATTGTCCAAATCTATCTATCTATCTCACTATGTTCACTATCTATCTATCTAAGCTGAGCATTTTGAAAGAAAGACAATTTATCGGCTACTGCTGATTAATGCTAAATGCTCTTCGCTATGAATTGAGCACTTTGGTAGTTACCATGTTTATATCTCGTATATAATGCGTTAAAAATGGCGTAAAGGTGAGAGACTGATGTAAAATCAATGCTCGATCCCGGCTTGAAGTAATTGCATGTCTAGCCGCGATCATCTGCTGTGATATAGCGGCGAAACTGTCTGTAGAAGATTGATTATATATATATATATATATATATATATATATATATATATATATATATATATATACTAATCCTATATCATATAGGCTCCTCAAAAATTAATTTCGGTTGAGGTCTTTGAAGAAGTAAGTGTGGGTTTGTAAACAGTGACTATTACGGCTGATATATCAAGACTCTTCGGTAAAGCGAATCGAGTCCTGTCGGTCACTGTGTGTTTATTTAAAAATAAATACGCTTAAATTCACCTTCATCCCTGCCGTACATCAACGGCTTAGTGATAGAATCTCCGACTAAGGTCAATTCAGTCGGGTTTCGATCCTAGCTACAGCGAAACAGTCTGTCTGTGGACGACATTATATATATATATATATATGTGTGTGTGTGTGTGTGTGTGTGTGTGTGTGTGTGAAAAGTGTAGAACCAAGCCTCGTATGCGAAACTGAACAGATAGAACTATTTGGAGGCTAGCTCGAAACCGCAAGTCATTGTGGACGAGTCTTTCAGTGTACTAGCCGTGTTCAATCTGTCCTTCATACCAGATTCGCTTTCTCGCACAAAATGCAATGATTATGACATTAGCCGTTTCCCTATAAGGAAACATTTGGCATTCATTGACCGAGAAGCCAGTACTGCTTTCAGTTGAAATTTACGAAATTTCTCAAGCCCAATAGCTGTTCTCGATCCTTCAACAGCTGATGGGAGTTTCCTTCCTAACTTTTTATTTGAAGTTTTTTTATTATTATATCTTAAGAAGCGTTTAGCATAGTTGCAGTATAAACCACGAGTATTGAACAAGATGATGAACACACAGAAAATAAGTCTAAGCTGTCGTTTGCAAAAGGGATTGGCTAGTCGCTCTAGCTGAGTGGTGTGCTCGGAAACTAGTTGCTAGCCATTATTTCTATTTGGCCGTATTTGCTTTTACTTCGTCCCTGACCGACTCAAAATAAAACAAACGAAATACTAGACAGGCATTTTTTGTTCTGGCCCAAATCGTGCGTCTGGGGCTAATGCCACGCCGATGACGTCATTGATGACGTCAAAATATTGAATAAAGCATTGTCGATGAAGTCCGTCGTTATCTGTTAACTATTCTTTTATTCTTAAAAAATTAAACGGAGAAGAAAGAAAAGAACTGGAAAACGTTTTGGGTTATGAACACGAGGAGAATGAAATAGGAAGAATTCGATCGTGGTAGACGGAGTGAGAAAGAGAAGAAAAAGAAAAAAAAGAAAGAAAAAGAAAAACATTTTACAATATTTCTCTCCTCACCAAACTTGACATATGGTAGCTGAAGATAATATTTCGTGATATAAGAGAACACTTAGGTCTATTGTCCTGGAAATTGTTGTTGCACTCAATAATGGCTAGGGTTAGAATAGTTGTTTGAGTGATGACACGCTTGGAGAGGTAGACGAGAGAAGAGAGAAAGAAAAAAAAGACGTAGACGACAGAATAAAGAGAGAAAGAAAAAAGAGGCAGAAGATAGAAAAAAGAAAACAGACGACACAAGAAAGAAAGAAAGAAAGAAAGAAAGAAAGAAAGAAAGAATACAGGACAGGACAAGACAGAAAGAAAGAAAGAAAAAAAGAAAGAAAGAAAGAAAGAAAGAAAGAAAGAAAGAAATAAAGAAAAAAGAAGAAAAGAAAGAAAGAAAGAAAAAAAAAAAGAAAGAAAAGAAAAGAAAGAAAGAAAGAAAAAAAGAAAGAAAGAAAGAAAGAAAAAGAAAAGAAAGAAAGAAAGAAAAGAAAAGAAGGAGAAAGAAAGAAAGAAAGAATACAGGACAAATTTTTCCAAAGAAAGAAAGAAAGAAATAAAGAAAGAAAGAAAGAAAGATGGAGACGAGAGAAGAAAGAAAGAAAGAAAGAAAGAAAGAAAGAAAAAAAGAAAGAAAAGAGGGTGACGAAAGAAAGATGGAGACGAGATAATAAAGAAATAAAGAAAGAAAGAAAAAGAAAAGAAAGATGGAGACGAGAGAATAAAGAAAGAAAGAAAAGAAAGAAAGAAAGAGGGAAAAGAAAAAAGAAAGAAAGAAAAGAAAGAAAGAAAAAAGAAAAACTCATGCAGACGATAGAATAATTTTCTAAAAAGTGTCAGATAAGTCGAAATAAAGAAAGAAAGAAAAGAAAGAAAAAGAAAAAAAGAAAGAAAGAAAAAAAAAAAGAAAGAAAGAAAGAAAGCAGGACAGGACAAGAAAGAAAAAAAGAAAGAAAAAAAAAAAAAAAACGAAAGAAAGAAAGAAATGCAGACGATAGAATAATGAAAGAAAAAGTGTCAGACGATAGAATAAGGAAAAAAAGAAAGAAAGTTAGAAAGACAGAAAGAAAGAAGAAGCAGACGATAGAAGAAAGAAAGAAAGAAAGAAAGAAAGAAAGAAAGAAGAAACAAAAAAGAAGCAGACGAAAGAAAGAAAGAAAGAAAGAAAGAAGGAAGTGAAGAAAGAAAAAGGTGAGGATAGAATAAAGAAAAAAAAAAGAGGCAGACGGTAAAAGAAAGAAAAAGAGGCAGACAATAGAATAAAGAAAAAAAATGAGGTGAACAATCGAAGAAAGAAAGAATGAAACAAACAACGTGGCAAACGATAAAAGAAAGAAAGAAAAAGAAAACTGACAATAAATAAAGAAGGAAAGAAAAGAAATTACAATGAAAAAGAGACAGTAAAAGAAATGAAGAACGGACGAAGAACAAATAAAATAGAAAAGAAAAAATTTCAAATTTTGAAGATAGAAAAATGAAAAATTATTAACAATACACAAATAAGTAAGGCAGAAGCTGTAAACTATGACAAGTCATTGTAATATTTTGCTGCATTCATTCTAAGGGTCATGGCCCACCAACGCCTCAATAATAGTAATTTTGGGACTAAAAACACATTTTAAGGTAGTTTTCAAGTCTTAATCCCAACTGAAGGTGGTTCTATGTCATATTGACTCGCATAAAATGATCATGTAGTGCCAAGCAAGGATTTCCAAATAGATTTTTATAGTCTTAATCACATCATCATAATTCTGAATCAGAATATTGTTTTATGGCACATTGACTCCTATATAATGGTCATGTAATGCCAAACAATGATTTTTTTTCAATATATTCGCTTAGGCTTTAATAACATCTCCAGAGTTTTGATTCTGAATATCATTTTATGGAACATTGATTCCTATATAATGGTCATTTAATGCCAAACAAGGATTTCAAGTAGATAATCCTTAGTATTTAATCCCATATCCAATTCTAATTCTGGATATGGTTTTAAGGCACATTGATTCCTATATAATGGTCATGTAATACATTCGCTTAGGCTTTAATAACATCTCCAGAGTTTTGATTCTGAATATCATTTTAAAATACATTGATTCCTATATAATGGTCATTTAATGCCTAACAAGGATTTCAAGTAGATACTCATACATGCGACTAACAATGTTTTTCATAGTCTTTAATTCCATCTCCAAGATTCTGATTCTGGATATGGTTTTTATCGCACACTGACACGTATATGATGGTCATATAGTTCCAAACAAGGATTTTCAAGTACATTCTCATAGTATCAATACTAACTCCAAGATTCTAATTCTGAATATTGTTTTATGGCACATTGACTCCGATATAATGGTCATGTATTGCCAAACATTGCGCCGCTTCATCTGTGAGAAAACTGACCAGCATTCACTGTCATATACAAGGATTGATATTGCATAACAGTTCAGCAGTCTTTGCCTCTAACAAAGATTTGTTCAATGTTACTTCATACTCTGCTTTGTATTTTGAAGATATCTTTGGCTATCCAATATGCTTTATGAGGATTTATATTACAGGGTAGTTCAACACAGTCAACTCAAAACAGCCAACTCAACACCGCCAATTCAAACCGCCAATTCAACACCGCCAACTCAACACCGCCAACTCAACACCGCCAACTCAACACCGTCAACTCCAACACTGTCAACTCAACACCGCCAATTTTTGGCGCCAATTCAACAGCCAACTCAACACCGCCAACTCAACACCGCCAATTCAACACCGTCAACTCAACACCGCCAATTCAACACAACCAACTCAACATCGCCAATTTAACACTGTCAACTCAACACCGCCAATTCAACACCGCCAACTCAACACCGCCAACTCAACAAAATTCAACACCGCCAACTCAACACCGCCAAAACACAGCCAACGCAACACTGTCAACTCAACACCGCCAATTCAACACAGCCAACTCAACACCGCCAATTCAACACCGCCAATTCAACACCGCCAACTCAACACCGCCAACTCAACACCGCCAATTCAACACCGCCAACTCAACACCGCCAACTCAACACAGCCAACGCAACACTGTCAACTCAACACCGCCAATTCAACACAGCCAACTCAACACCGCCAATTCAACACCGCCAATTCAACACCGTCAACTCAACACTGTCAACTCAACACCGCCAATTCAACACCGCCAATTCAACACAGCCAACTCAACACCGCCAACTCAACACCGCCAATTCAACACCGTCAACTCAACACCGCCAATTCAACACAACCAACTCAACATCGCCAATTTAACACCGTCAACTCAACACCGCCAATTCAATTTACAGCCAATTCAACACCGCCAACTCAACACCGCCAATTCAACACCGCCAACTCAACACCGCCAATTCAACACCGTCAACTCAACACCGCCAACTCAACACCGTCAACTCAACACCGCCAACTAAACACTGTCAATTCAACACCGCCAACTCAACACCATTGACTGAGTTCCAGTACAATTCAGGAATGAGACAACTCAGAACAAGATAAACAGCAAAAATATTTTAGAATAAAAAATAAATTACGATTTAATTTATTAAAAATAATTAAAAACAGATAACTGGCTTATGTATATATATATATATATAGCTGGTCACTCGTAATCGAGTCTACTAAGGCGACTAGCCAATCGCTATTACTGTCGCTTGCTTATTCAACATCCACAGAGCCCACCTGTTGTTTATACTGCAACTATGCTGGGCAGACCTTAGTTACAGTTTCTGGGAAAGAGCGTGTTATCTTGCGTGATCAACAATTTGAACAAGTCCAGCACGCTCAAGTTCTCGGCCACGATGACTTATGACTTCGTGCTATCGACATCTACCCAATTTCGCAGTATGGTTTTCCGACATTTTCCAAAGGTGCTGCATGCTGTGATAGACCCCTCCAGTCCAATAACAACAGGTCTCCTTCCTGACAAATCGACCATGGTGAGATTCGAACCCGTGTCTCATGGTCAGAATTCTAACTTTCTAACCACTCAGCCACGTGCCTATCTATATTTTGCATAATGCCTTTTCAAATGCCTTATCTAAAGAAAAAATATTCACTAATTAAAGTTTTAATTCTTAATTACTTTTATTCGGTTATAAAAAAAAAAAGTTATGTCATTCTGGTGCTGAGTTGTAGCGGTCCTCAGTTGTGTCGGCGCTCAGTTGAGTCGGCGGTGTTGAGTTGTCTTGCACCCTTGAATATGACGTTAAGCAAAACCGATTGGTTGACATACTTTTGCAATCATCTGCAATTCTTACTGCGAAACGTTAAAAGGTTGACTTTAAAAATGTTTTTTTTTTCTTTTTTAGAAATCCATGCGAAAAGCTGTCAACCCAACACGAGACTGGGGACCCGCCCTTGACGCTAATCGAAGAGGTCGTTATAAACTTCGCCATGCATTGAACAGCAAAGAATCTGACTCTCTTTATACAGAGAACGAATTGATTTCAACACCTAACGTTGACCAATCGACAAAACTCTGAAGCCATCTTAAGGGAAAATTTGTCTCTTTTCCAGATTTCAGTTCTTAATTAGCATTTCTTCAAAGAGACTATTAAAAAAAAACAACGAATTACATTGCACTTCTTCTTCTTCTTCTTCTTCTTCTTCTTCTTCTTCTTTGTCTACTGGTGTTCCTTGAAGATGTTGGCGATTATGGCTCTCCACATTTCCTGTCATTTGTAGCTTTTAGTAAATTTTATCTTTTTGCTCTCTCTCCTAATTCCTGGTCTGCCAACCCTTTACATAAGCTTCTTCTTCTTCTTCTTCTTCTTCTTCTTCTTCTTCTTCTTCTATGAGTTGTGTCCCTTCAGTACGATCAAGGCCCTCCACAATTTCCTGCCTTTTGCAACGCTTAATAAATATGGTCTTTTCGTTTTAATATCTTAATACCTGACCTGCCAAACCTTTACACAAACTTATTTTTTTTTTTTCAAAAATTAATTTTTCAGGACGTTTGTGATCACGGCTCTCCACAATTTCTTACCTTTTGCAAATATTAGTAAATATTGTCTTTTCATTTCCTCCTAATCCCTGCTCTGCGATACCCCTTCTTCTTCTTCTTCTTCTTCTTCTTCTTCTTCTCATTATTATTATTATTATTCTATGATCCGTGTCCATTCCTGACATCGACGATCAAGGATCTCCATAATTTCCTGCCCTTTGCAATGCTTAATAAATATTGATTTTTCGTTATCTCTGCTAATCCTTGTTCTGCCAACCATTTACACAAGCTATGAGCCGTATCCCTTCAGGACGTTGGCGATCACAGCTCTCCACAATTTCCTTCCTTTTGTAGCTCTTTGCAAATTTTGTCTTTTCCTTCCTTCTCTCTCTCTATATATATATATATCTTCTTTTTTTCTTTCTTTCTTTTTTTTTGGGGGGGGGTAGCCTTTTACGAAATTTCCCTGTCTCTTTATACTTTGTTTAATTTCTGTAAAGAATCTTTTGCTATTCGAACGTAAAGAAAATCTAGGAAATTTAACAATTGTTTATTTACTTTCTCTTATTTAGTGCGACGCCGAGGGTTACAGCTGCAAATTACTAACGGACCCCACAACATTATCAAATTCCAGTCAAATTAAAGTCGGTAGACGCTGGTTACTTGCAAAATGTCCAATACACAAGACTGGGCGAACGAGAGATGTGTCGGGAAAGGTGGACAAAGAATGGTTTTAGCCCTGATATACGAACCGGAAATGAAGGAAGAAAGAAATTCACCTTTCATTGCTCGGATAACGTGTTCCGTTTGAGATAATTGTTGAAAGCCAAGGCAATAAGATGACAGTTTTCGCTCTAATTTTATTTGTCTCTACACCGCACTGGCCATACCTATCTTCCACATTTTATTTAGTTATGTGCCATGCATGATACACGCTTAGGCGATCATGTAACTTTCGATACATGACTGACGAGGCAGATTTTTTCCCGCAGTAGGTTGCCATTTCTTTCTGCGGTATCCAAGACTATAGAACCCGGCTTGTCCTGCTATTTAGCTATAGCTGGGGGGGGGGAGAAGAAGAGGATTCATACCTTTCCCAAGGATATTAGCACGGAAGTGAATGTAATTGATTCGACTGGAATTCGAACCCGGCTCTCCGATTTCTCAATTACCATTATCCATTACTCCACCGTGACTCCAATTTTTCTTAATATTGGTGATAATATTTACCAATTCCTATATAAATGATTATTCTTTAAGTATGATGATGTGTCAAAAGCGATGGCAAAGCACGGATCAATTTGACAATTTAGCAGTTGATCTAAAAATTAATCTACAATCTGTTGTTAACTGAGGCAAGTATTGGCTTGTTAATTTTAATGCCTCCAAAATAAACATGCTCTTTTTTTAATCGACTTAGAGAACCTTTTCTGTCTTCCCTCAGGATGGCTGATGCTAACACAGATGAAAGTTAATTAGTTGTTCCTTCACAGGCTAATGTTTTCCAATGACATGATGTGGAAAGATTATATTGAATCAATTGTTAGGTCTGCTTCTAGGAAAGTTGGATTACTGCGTTATGCTAGACAATTTCTTTCGTCAGAATTTATCTTACATATTTATAAGTCTAGCATTTGTCCATGTATTGAATATGGCTGTCACATTTTCTCATTTGTCCATGTATTGAATATGGCTGTCACATCTTCTCACTTGTCCATGTATTGAATATGGCTGTCACATCTTCTCATTTGTCCATGTATTGAATATGGCTGTCAATCTTCTCACTTGTCCATGTATTGAATATGCCTGTCAAAATCTTCTCATTTGTCCATGTATTGAATATGGCTGTCATCTTCTCATTTGTCCATTATTGAATATGGCTGTCACATTTCTCATTTGTCCATGTATTGAATATGGTTGTCACATCTTCTCATTTGTCCATGTATTGAATATGGCTGTCACATCTTCTCATTTGTCCATGTATTGAATATGGCTGTCACATCTTCTCATTTGTCCATGTATTGAATATGGCTGTCACATCTTCTCACTTGTCCATGTATTGAATATGGCTGTCACATCTTCTCACTTGTCCATGTATTGAATATGGCTTTCACATCTTCTCATTTGTCCATGTATTGAATATGGCTGTCACATCTTCTCATTTGTCCATGTATTGAATATGGCTGTCACATCTTCTCACTTGTCCATGTATTGAATATGGCTGTCACATCTTCTCATTTGTCCATGTATTGAATATGGCTGTCACATCTTCTCACTTGTCCATGTATTGAATATGGCTGTCACATCTTCTCACTTGTGAAAATCTCTTCTGTCTTCTTGCGTTCCAGTCAAGTTTGATCTTCAAAAATTTAAATCCAATGTCAATTGGTTATCTTCTGCCTTATTAATTCCTGTTCTTTTATTGTTCTCTCCCCTCAGATTATTCACATCCAGTAACCCCTTGCATCTTAGTGGCTTTACCACCTTATTTGGCCTGAAAGAGTTTTTTTTTTATTAGTAGTAGTATCTCGAATTTTGAAATAAAGCAATTGAAATGAAGATGAAAGAAATCCTAGTGCTAAGTGAAGGAGGCTTGCCAATGCTTTAAGCATATCAAAGCAACCTTTAAACATTGTCAAGCATCCTTCATTTTTAACTAGGTTTTTCCATCGTCTTCATTTCAATTGCTTTATTTCTACCTTTAGTGTTATTATTAGTAACACTTATCTGGAATTTTGATTAGATGAGATATTATGTACACTATTATGTACACTATTTACATTATTCGGACTATTGTCCTCATCTTTGTCGCCATATTTATCAAAACGTTTTGGCCGTTGTACGCCCCGGCCTTCTTCAGGTGGTTGGAATGTCGAACTGATTCCTTCGCTCGCTGAGGTAGACTGTTCTTGTTCCACGTGCCATGTCTTATGGATGTCAGTTATCAGTTATCTCCTGTTAATTCGCATCTCAAAGTTCCCCACCGCACTTAACGAGGTATTGAACTCACACTCTATGGGTCCTGTCACTGGATCTAACTAACGCCTTTATCCAATGTGCCATGTGTCGACATTCCAACCACCTGAAGAAGGCCGGAGCATACAGCGGCCGAAACGTTGAGATAACAATAAGAAAACTAGAAGAATAATCTGACGTTCGGCAATGTTAATATTAATGAATAATATTAACAATTCAAGCATTATATTGTAGACATCCGTGTATGAAAAGAAGTCCTGTTTGTTTTTTGTTTTTTACATCTACGGGACAGCATCTCGCCGACAATTTTCGAAAAGACACTGGATTAAATGTTGATCCATATCGACAAAGGAAGCCATAGGCTTGTACATTGCCAGACAACAAATACTTTTTAAGTATCTCGAATGTCCAGTCCATTAGACGTAATTTCCTCTCTGTCTATATTTCTGAGATGAGGTATTGCAATTATTTACAATGTTCGGGTTGTTCTCCTCAACTTTATTGCCATACTGCCTACCTTATATGAAGGGATTATCGAAGAAAATACAAAAGATCTGTGGTCAATATAACATCAGGATGACCTTCAAAAGTAGTTTGGCACTTTGCAGAACCTTCTTCCTAGTAAAACTCCCCATAGAAGAGAACATGACTAAGAACTGTGTGTACGCCATCCCGTGCAGCTGTGGTAAGAACTATACCAGAGAAACTAGCAAAAAAGGTGGAGAAGAAAGAAATTCTAGACAAAATATAATGATACCTGACAATGCTTCATCTAGTCAAAATTCCAGATAGTATTGCTGCTACCAATACCACTAGTGGAAATAAAACAATTGACATGAAGATCGAAGATATCCTAATCCAAAAGGAAAAATGCTTGATAATGCTTCATCTCAGAAATATAGACAGATAATGAAAGACATCTTCATTTTTAACATTTCTCAGTTTCGCATTCTTTTTTAAGTCCAGCAACATTTCAACCAAGTCAACATTTTCATCTCCTGGCTCATAAATTTCTACCCCAGCGAGCGAAATAAAGGGTTCAGTTCGACATTCCAACCACGTGAAGAAGGCCGGAGCGTACAATGGCTGAAATGTTGTGATAAATATGGTAACAAGGATGAGGATGATAAACAATGTAAATAGTTTAGGTGGTTTTGCTTAACGGCCTTCCTCGACAGCCTTTCACAATTGCCAAAATATGAAAGCAATCGTTATCTTATCCTTAAAATCTCCACTTCTATCCACTTAATCCTCTAATCATTTCACACACATCATTCAGAATTACCATTTAGAATCTACCTTGAGTGGCTCAGGAGACCTGCATTGGGTATATTTTAGTATTAAAAAATAGTAAACTTACCGGGCCAGATTATGTAGCGCCTAGAGGCTTCCTGTTGTCTCGCCTGCAAAAAACAGAAGCAAAAGATACAAAAAGATACATAAGATGAAAATAAAAGTAATAATTTGATTCCTAAAAATTTTTTTAAAAAGAGTAATAAGCTGACCCCTAAAAGTTAATAAGCTGACCCCTAAAAGTTAATAAGCTGACCCCTAAAAGTTAATAAGCTGACCCCTAAAAATTAGTATACTGAATGATAAATTGGTCCCTAAAAATTAATAAACTGATCCATAAAATTTAATAAATTGGTCCCAAAAAATTTAATAAACTAAGCCTGAAAAATTAATATACTGAGTAAAAATAAATTTACTGAGTAATAAATAAATCAATAAATTGATCCCTAAAAATTAATGAACTGAGTTTTAAACTGAGCCATAAAACTTTATTAAACTGAGTTCTAAACTGGTCCCTAAAAATTAATAAACTGGAAAATAAATTGCTCCCTAATTATTAATAAGCTCAGTAATAAACTGAATAATAAACTGATTCGCATTAAGTTTAATAAACTAGGTAATAAATTAATACTTAAATAATTAATAAACTGAGTAATAAACATGTCCCTAAAAAAATTCTACGTTCTACGATAATATTCTATGGGACAAAATGATAACATAAAATTTAATTTTATCTCCAGTAAAATATCATACGATTTTTTACGGACAGTACATTAATAATAAGTTATAATTCAATCTCTCATATATATATATATATATATATATATATATATATATATATATATATATATATATATATATATAAAGAAAGAAAGAAAGAACAGTAAGATATATAATCCGGAATTCTTATAGATATTTTTATTTTTACAAAATAGTGCTCAATATACATTTACAATTAATATTATAAATTAATTGATTTAAAATATGGTTTTCCGCTACACAGTTCAAACCATGTTTCAAAAATGGAAGCTCCGAATTTAATTTAATAATTAAATTAAAGACATTAGTTCCATTTCATCCTCAAGCGAATTTTGGAGTAACTTTTAAAATTACTGGGTTTTAAAGACACAGCAAAAATTATAATTCACGTTTCCAAGGATACAGAGAAATCCAATTCAACCAGACAAGGGGTGTTTGCGTGTTCATTAGTGCTGTATTTTGATGTATCAGTTATTAGTTACATTTTGGTAGGGGGTAGGGATGTATTTTTCAGTAATATCTAACATCAGTTAAATGCATGTCGTCTGGATTTTTAAATTTTATTGTTAACGGCAATACATATATATATATATATATATATATATAAAAGACAAAGAACAAATGGAGTAACAATCCACAGTTCGTAGGATTTACTTTTTTAAAAAGTGTTCAATACAAAGTAGAGAAAAATATTATTAATAATATATAAATATATATACATATATATATATATATATACTAGACGAATTGCTCACGCC